GGATTATGTTAAGAAATAAGGAAATTGGTGATTTAGAATGGATGGAGACTGGACCATCTAGGTTTGTCCACCAGTTTTCTAGTCTTTGCACCCTCATTTGTATCTTTTTCCTCAATGATTATCTAGCTTGCTCATATATTTTGTTATCCTCCCATTTCTGTGTCTGTCAGTTGTCTCTGTTTTCATTCTCTTCTCTTTCTGAATCTCGTTTGCCTTTTCTTTTCTCTCACTACACAAGAGGAACAGGCTGCAAAGGGCAGCACCAGGATCAAGGGGACTCCAAAGTTGATCTTTCAGACACCTTTGCACAGCACCAGCTGAATTGTGCCCCAGGCAGTTTGGCCTTAGCCAGGGATCTAGTTAAAAAGTAAATATTTGCCAACAAAGTTACCAAAGTTATTTCCTATCCTGAGTAGAAGGGAAAATCTGTGGTACATAAGGTTACCGCTCTGTTGGCAAATGCTAATGGCAACTGTTGTTCCTACTTTTATCCTGCTTTCAGTGACCAATTTCCTGTCACAAGCAGTTGCAAAGTGATGCTGTGCACTCTGAGAGTTTCACATCCCATTTCACTGGCAGGTTGAGTGATTTCTAGATTTAAAAATAATCAAATCTCTTTTCTGATCTTTTTGTGTGAAAGGCCCTACATAAATCCAAGATGTCACCAAGCACATTTGGCAATGGTCTAGTTGAGTCCTATGCATCTGAGATGCTTTTGATTCTGGTTTCCTAATGAGTAATTAACAGTCAGCAAATGTGGTAAACTGAATTATGAAGAACATGCTGAACTTGCACTCAGCCCTTTAGACACTGTGGAAACCTCACTAGTTCAAACCAGTGTCTTGTTTGGATTCACCATTACCACACAACAGCTAGACTGGTCGGCACAAAAATATCTGCGTAATTGTTTTCTTTTTCTTATGGATAGCATCTAATCTACTCAAGAAAAGAGCTCCTAAAATTTTGCTGTTTCTAGCCGTCATCTCAGACACACACGTTCTGTGTTTCACTTGTGGTGAAACTGGTCTGAAAGTTATTACACAGGGTGATAAAAACTTTTTTCTTTAACTATGAAATGTTTTTATAACCTCGTTTATATCTTTTCTGACGCCAAATCTAGATGCAGAGGTGCCTTAGCTTGATACTAGTGATGCAAAGCAACAAAAGCGCAATATTTTATCAGCTCTGACAGCATGTCTGCTTTCTCCCATCCAAATGCTGTCCTTGGCTTTCAACTTGGTTTTTTTCCTGTTTGTAGAAATTTAAGATTTAAAGCTATTCAGAATGCTTTAATCACAAATTATAGCAGCAAATTTGCAAATAGTATGTGTGGAATAATAGGATTATCAACCATTCTTTTCTTTAACATTCATTTATATAGCTCATTCTACATAATATCTATGTAGAAAGTTACAGGTAGAAATCTGAAATATGACCTCTAACACTGTTCCCCCCATTTGTTAATTATACTTGGAATTAAAATGTGTGGGGAAGTTCCATCCATTAAATTCTAAAGTAACCTGAGACCTTATTACTGACGAGTTACTTCATGTTCTTTTAGTAGTTCGATGCAGACTGTGTGCTTAGCAATGAACAGGTTTGTTTTTCATTAAACATCATGTTGGTAGATACTAATATTTTTCTGTTTAAATTAGCTTTACTTCCCATGTTTTAGGTGAGCATTTTTGGTTTAAAAAAAAATTTACTTGTGGGAATTAGGTATGTGTCTAAGTTGGGTTTCAGGCAGCAGGATATATCTGCTATAGTAAGATCTGCTTTCTTTCCATCCTGAACCCAAGGGTGCTGGTGTTTTGGAGGGGGCATGAGGGTTACAACTGCCATAAAATTTGCTTGTGACTCAAAGCTTAGCAAACCAAATCCTTGCCCCGGAAGATTTTTTAATGACTGCTTTGGGACGCTTGATAGTTCATTTTGGTAATGGGATACAAGGCTTTTCACCTCTTTGCTAATTAATTCAGTCCAGGTTGGTAGTGATTTAATGTTACCATGCAATAGCCATTTAGTGATTTTTACCTTCTTAAAGTCTTAGACAATTGGAGTCTTACTATCAGCTTTAAACTGTTTGCTTTAGGAATTTATGTGGCCTCTATTACTGTAGTATCAGAATGCCTCATGGTCTTTATTGTATTTATCCTCACAACACCACGATGGGGTAGGGAAGTGCTGTTATCCCCATTTTGCAGATGGGAACTTGGGCACAGAGAGGTTAAGTGACTTGCCCAGGGTCAAACAGGGGGTCTGTGGTGGGACAGGGAATTGAACTCCTATATCCCAAGTCTCAGGCTAGTGTCCTAACTGCTGGATTATCCTTCCTCTTCTCCCCACTTCAGTGGGAGTGGAGTTAAACAAGCAAGGAGAGCTTTTGAAAATCCTACCGTAATATTCGATTTATCCTCCCATAATTCAAAAAATGTTGAGACAAATTCAAACCTAATTAAGCAGGCACAACTCAGCTGATGTCATGGGAGATGCACCTTGCTTAGCCAGGTCTGAATTTTTCACTATAACTCAGCTGAAGTAATTACGTCATGTTTTCACTAAAATGCGCTTAGTTACTCAAAGCCTGGTATTGGGACTATTACAGAGGGAGCACAACGCCGGGAGTGCTTTCTATCATACAACACTATGATCTCTTTGGCTGATTAAACAGTCATAGTGATCATCTCTGCAGTGAGTTTCTGCCAGGATTCTATTGGCCACCGTACAAAGGGCCTTCAAGGTGGGTGACACCAAAGCAGTAAAAAAATGGGATATCCTCAGGACTGGAATGAGGACCATAACCCCCCTTCAAAAGAAACCTCTTGCATTAAAATAAAAAAGTCAAAACAGTTGGCATGCTGAGGATTAAAAATGAATTTGAACATGTGCACAGTACAATGTTATTCCAACAAGCATTTCATAAGGACTTCATAATTTAGACCTGCTTTGTATACATGGGAGACAAACGGACATGAAAGTCTTATCTGATCTACATTGCTTACTTCACTGCAGAATAAAGTGGGGGCGGGGACATTGTTGCACAGGGAACTTGAAGCTGTGGAGGAGATGAAGGTGGGGGAAAAGAGGTAGACATATCTTCACTTCCAATATAGAGAAGCTGCAGGGAGACTGACTTCTCTCCACTGTCGATAGGAAGTAGCTGCAGTAGGATGGAAGCAGGGTCGTCCTTACCCATACGCAACGTAAGCAGCTGCATAGGGCACCAGGGAATTTGGGGCACCACATTTCCTGGTGCCATGCGCAGCTGTGTGTTACTCCAGCCCCTGCTCCGCCTCTTCCCCATGGCCCCCACCCTAGCCCCGCCTCTTCCCGCCCCTGGTCTGCCCCAGCCCCGCCCCCACTCTCCTGAGGACTGCTGCAGGGGATGGGCCTGCACTCACCGCATGGTAAGTGGAGCGACCTGGCCCCAGCCTGCTCCAATCCCCTGGCTCCCAGCCACGCCGCTGGCAAGTGCTGGGGGGTGGTGCCCCCCTCCCCCCAAGGCTGGGAGTCAGGGGAGCGGAGCGGGCTGGGGCTGGGGGGCGGTTCCCCTCTTCCCCCCAGCCCTCTCCCTGCGGAGGCCTGGGGTCAGCCCTGCGCCCCTCCTTCCCCCCCGGAGGCCTGGGGCCCCACACAGCCCCTCCATGGGGGGGCTGCATAGGGCACCAAAATGGCTAGGGAGAGCCATGGATGGAAGCCATGAATTCCTTTTCCTCCCCTTGTCTTCCCCCAAGTGGAATAGTGGCAACTTTTCTTATCCTCCTCAGCCTTGGCAAAGGAGGCAGTGTTAACTGATATGTGATAATCGCTGCAATCTGACGGGATTTTAAAAAGTGGTATTGCTTTATACTGGAAAGAAACTTTACTATTTGCAGGTTGAAAGTCCAGTAAAATGCATTGGAATGATTTTCACTCCCCACCCTGTCAGCAGAGCTCAGTTATGAAATAGGGAAGTGCTATTGGGTAGTTAATGGCTTTTTCTGAAATGTAGAAGGCAAAACCAATGCTAGGCTCATGAGCTAATATTCTCAATCTTGTGTTCAGGATAATAAGAAAGACTGAAGCCATCTTGGGGTGATTTTGCTCTCCCTTACCAGGTCTCTAAAGTATCTTGATCAACAGTGTCAAATGCTGCTGAGAGGTTGAACAATATGAGCAGGGAGGTTTGCCCATTGTCCACAACCAAGAGAGGACTATTCTCCAATGTAAAGACTGTCTGTATGCCATATCCTGGTGTGAAGGCCCAGTGAGAGGGATCCAGGATGTTGTCAGGTGGGGTTGGAGATGGAATTGTGCTAGCTTCTCTGTGATCTTGCTTAGAATGGAAGGTTGGATTATGGGTGGTCATTGTCTGGATTGGTTGTCAAATACATTAAGTGCAATTGATCTAAAATATGGTGGCTTAGTGCACTACCAGTAGGGGACCATCAGTGATCCAACTTCAGTAACCTAGAGTGCCAAAATAATGTGCAACAGAAAAGTTTGGAGGAGGAATGTGTTTTGGTCCAGATTGTCTTCCTACCTTTTGTTGCTTTCTCTTTTTCCCTGCCATCTTTTGATTTCCTTCTTGCTGACTTTTTCTGGCTCTCTGTTTCCTCTTTCTCCTTTTTGTTTTCCACAATGAATGCTGAACAGAAAATAAAATGCAGTGCACCTATACTGAGCTGCATTTACCTGCAGCACCTGCTAGGCGTGGAAATTGACTAAAATCACATAACTTCAGTGAATTTAACTGGCTGCAGTTACTGTGGTTAAAATTCTTTGGGGCGGGAGCATTCTGCAAAGTGGACGCTAGAGTCCATGGACCTCTAAGGTAAAAGTTTGGATGTTAAAGGAGAAAGCATAGCTATGTTACCAGACAAGCAAGAATGCAAGACTTGTTCACTATTGATGAGACATCAGCCAGCTAACAGCTACATTAGTAATAATACCTGAGTACTATCATTTCTGCCTAATATATAGTGGAAGGGGCATGCTAACCTTTTGTTTGTTTCTTAAAGGCACAAGACCTGAATGTGATTGAAGAAGTGATCAGAATGATGTTAGAGATTATCAATTCCTGCTTGACAAATTCTCTCCATCACAACCCCAATTTGGTGTATGCACTGCTTTACAAGCGGGATCTGTTTGAGCAGTTTCGAACTCACCCTTCCTTCCAGGACATAATGCAAAATATAGACCTGGTAAGTAATATTTATTAATCAGTTGCAAGCAGTAAAACAAGCCTCTTAAATACATTGTTAGCTGAATATGCTTTTGAGAGAAGTGATGATTTTTTTCACATTTATATATCCCTTTCTTTTGCTAGATATTTTTAGACTCTATTAAAAATATTGAGCTTCCAAATCATGATTGTAGCTAAGAGAGGGGTGGAACTTGGGTTGTTCTCAATTCCTCTCCCTTCCTTCAGTCTCTGGGACTCCACCACGAACCATACTGGATTCCATCCTTACTTGGCAGACACCATGACTTGTGCCATGAGATTTGGGGAGCCCATTGATGAGGATTTCCCCAAGCTGCAACAGATCCTCTTCTGGAAGGAACCCCCTCCAAGTAGTTGCCTTTCAATTTTCTAAAGGAGGCCAGTGGCAGCTATTCTTTACTCCCCTTCTGCAAGGGCACACCACAAGGATCCTCTTCCTTCAGACAAGATTACGTTCTTTTCCTACAGTAATCTCTCTTAATACTCCAGTGATGGAAGTGGAGGAAAAAACTAGCGTAGGAGAGTTTCTCCTTCAGCTAACTGCAGGCAGGCAGCATGCCCTATCTGAACTTGGGCTGCTTTGACCTACAGAAGAGTCTGGTGAGTAGGAGTTTAGGAAAAGCATAAATCAGAATTCTTAGCCCTAATTTCTCTCTAGGGTGAAAGAGCCCCTACTGCCACTCTCAAGTGGACCTGTGCTGGTTATTAGAAAGGATGAATTTCACTTTCTCTGTAGGTTTCAGAGTGGTAGCCTTGTTAGTCTGTATCAACTGTTTGAAATGGGCCACCTTGATTACATTGGCCTCATTAGCACTACAAAAATGATTTTTCCTCTCTTCGTATTCACTCCTTTTTGTCACCTGTTGAGAATAGCCCACTTCCACCTTAATTGAATTGGCTCGTTAGCACTTGGTAAGGCAACTTCCATCTTTTCATATGCTGTGTATTTATACCTCCCTACTGTATGTTCCACTCCATGCATCTGATGAAGTGGGTTTTAGCCCACAAAAGCTTATGCCCAAAGATATTTGTTGGGCTCTAAGGTGCCACAAGGACTCCTCGTTGTTTTTACTTTCTCTGTAGGGAGCCATGTTAGATCCTCATATGTATCTCCATACATAGCAGGCTGCTGTGATGGGGGATGTGGTAGATAAGTATTTTCTAATATGAAATATAATGGTGCCTTTCATATTCATATATGAAGGACCTGGATGATAATACTTGCTAGAAAATAACAAATGTTAAGGTTCAATAGATCAGTATTTTGGCCTCCATTCGTTAATATTTATACAGTAATTAAATGCAAATAGTTTTTTACCATCTCTTCTGGCCATAGTTCAGCCATACTGTCAGCTAGCTACACTGGTTGAGTGATATACAGGTATTTTAATTTAATATCACCAATGGTTTGTTTTCTTCTTTACTAGAAGAGCCAAATTAGCATTAGCAGCCTTATTTAGAAATTTAGATGGTAATTCACCACATTTCAAATTCATCGCCCTCTTTCAGTTTGTGTAACCAAATGAGTGGGTATAGATTAGCCAAATGGTACAGATTCATACTGGCCCTGATCATAGCAAGGGAGCACAGAGGATTGGTTGATTTAAAATATATATATATATTCTGCAAGAGCACTTGGCGTTCATAAAAATGAGGCCAGAGCCAGTGGTATAGGAGGCAGCTGCCGTGCAGCCTTCTCTATCCAATCTTTTCCCTGGACCTGCAGCGTTCCACTTTTGTGTCATTGTATCTGCTGCATACAATGGGGAACACACATGACCCACTGAAGCTTTAACTACAATTAAGTGCTTTTTTTCCTCAACTGCACCGTATCTAAACTTGAGCATAATTGTTATCTTTCTATGGAAAAGTAAATGAAATAAAACCATGAGTGTTTGCATATAAAACAAAACTTGTTTTCACTTTTCCCTTCCGTTTTAAATAAACCTCTTTATAATTACAGATTGCTGTGGACCAAAATATTTTCCTTCTCCCACTTCTCTTTTAATTGCGCAATGCTGCTATCCATGCCGTGTGCTCCTTATTAGTTGCTCCTTTGATATTTGAGGTCACTAATCAGAAGAGATGCACTAAAATTGTTAAAGCAGCTCTTGTTATATGAGACATTACAAATACTGCATTTAAATACCCATAGTAATTCCAGGAGCTCCCTTTGACTTCAATAGGCATTCTACATGCACAGCATGGATTCCAAGATTAGGCTCCTAATGATCAGGACTTTACTGTAATTTTGTCCTACTATGAGCAATGGATTCAAGCTGCGGGAGCCTTAAGCTCTACAGCATGTTGGATTTCTTGCTGCAGTGGGTACCTCATTTTTCATGTGATGTTACTAAAAGCCTGTTTGTGAGTCGTATATTGGTTTACTTTCTTTAAAATACCAGATGAGATTGACACGCTTCTAAAGATCCAGAAGCACAGCCATTTTCATCCTTATCTGAAGTGGCTGAATTGCTGTTCTTTCTCCTCCCCCCACTGTTCTCATTTTGCTGCCTGCCAACGATTTTTGAGGGGTAGAGTTCAGACCTCAAAATGCCCCAGGGTCGTTCGCAGCTACAGTGTTCAGATGATGTAATGATGCAGGATTGGCTAGGAGAGGTGACCTACAATACTTCATTTGCAGGTTGTGGGAAGGGGAAAATGTTCCAGCTAGACAAACACTAACTGAATAAGTAACTAACCTTCACAGTTCCCCCGTGAGTTGGGTAGCCTCTGTACTTATTTTATCCAGAGGTTTGACTTGTCTGTGACCATGCAAGTCAGAGGCAGAGCCAGGAATAGAGCCCAGGCTTTGCTGCCTGACAAGCCCATGCCCACTAGCCTACGCCTTCTGTGGAAGACAAAGGCGTTCTTCCCCATGTAACAGTTAAATGTGGGTTTACTAATGTAACCGTTTAAACAAAACCCTTTCATGTTAGGATATAGGATAATGCCAGGCAGGTTCTGAAGCCTTCTAACTATTTAAAGCCTTCCAAGGGAGTGTCTTGAAGTTTTAAATAACCTCTTTGTTAGGAAAGCAAAGATGTCAAAAATTTTATTTTTAAAATGTACCTGTCACCAGCTAGCAGGTGGTGAGAGCTGTCAGCTTTCCCATCTGAATAAATGATTGGACTCAATAGACTCCTCTCTTCACCCCCAATCCAGAAGTAGTGCCTGCACAGTTGCCATTCCCTGGAGAACAGAATCAGTCTTTTTTAGATCGCAGTTGCTAAAGCATATGGACACGTCCTCCCAACACCCTCAAGAGAGTAGTAAGGAGTATTACCCCCACTTTACAGATGGAAACACTGAGGCAATGGGGTTAAGTATTTGTCTAAGACCACAGAAGGCATAGCCCAAGTGTCCCTGACTCCCAGAACTGTGCTCATGCCACTACATTGCCCTTCTCTGCTCTGTGGACTTGATCCTGCCAGTATATGGTTCTCAGGGTGCTGCAGAGTGCATGGAGTCCTGTGGGAGGATGCTGACCACCCCATGGTGTGGCAATCTAAAACCCATCTTTGTGCAGGGATTCACCCATACAGCAGGAAACAGCCCCCCCATGGAAAGTTGGTGCCACAGATGATCTGATGGCTCCGCAACACTGCAGAGTGGGATTCCATCTGGGGTGTGTCTCTGACTGGCTGTGGTAGGGACACCATAGGCTGGCCAGCCGTCAGACATGCCTCTTCTCCAGCAGGGCTGCCTGTATTCAGGGGCTTTGTGCTTGTGGTGCAGCTGCCAGGTCCCTGGCTACATGATGGCCCCTAAGCTTCCAGGTGTAGGGATATTTGGCAGTGGGGGGGCATCTTCCCCATGCTTCTAAATCACTTGTCTGACTCTGCAGAGATTGTAGTGCCAAATGCTGACTCCACCCATCACCACCCCGTCTGACCCCTACCACATGGCAAACGTGTGTAGCTCTCCACACCAGGTGCCACTGGGGACTCCTGCTAGAAGGGTGCTGCATTCATCACTTATGCAGACCTCATTTGTGCAGTAGCACTATTCCTTGCACAACTGGCAGGATCAGGAGTCATCAGCAAAATCCTGCTTACAGAGTGGAATCATTCTCCCTTTACACTGGACGTAGGATTTTTCCCACCCTAAACTGTTAGGCAGCATGTGCAGAAGGTAGCTGATGATTTATCCAATGTGAAAAATCTGTAGAGTTTTTCATACAGTGGTCACCCTTAAAAACTTACTCAGCTGCCTTAGATAACTCAGAACTTTGCCTCAGTATTTGAAGTATTGAAGTTATTCCCTAGAGGTAATATTGCAGATACTGATGTAACCTCTATATTTATGGCAAGTGTTTAAGGGTAACCAGAGTATAAAACACTTTCCAGTGTAAATTGGACATTAGTTATATTTCCCTTCTCTGTATCTTTTACAAACAAACTAGTAATCACCATCACTGTATAACTGGGAACATATGGGCACATTTAACACTGTAAACAATAGACTGAAATCAAAATACCTTCCATTTCCTATTAATTTACTTTTAATTTTAGAAAGTCATCTTACTGGGATATTGTGTATCTTGTCGCGCTAAATGGGCTATTCTTGCTCTGGCTCATCTAGCACAGAGGAATGGTATGATTTCTATTCCGGCTTACTACTGAAACCCCGCAGTGCAGACTGTGTACCTGTCTTTATTCCGCAAATGATCTCTAATTTGATAAACAGCCTCATATGTCCCAGGAGTTTGGTAGAGGCTCCTAACAGGTAATTGCTAGGGCTGGACCTGTGCCAGGAATGTCATGGAGAGTCATTGACTTCATTACTTTCTCGGCTGCTGTGAGAGTTGGATGGATGTGATAAGTAGTTGAACAAACTTCATTAGGAGCTGCTAAAATCCTTGTTTGATAGGTAGGCTGATAGCGAGCAGGAGCTCAGCAGCAACAGTGTGATGATGCAGAGGATCAGCCCAGTGTTTCCTAGTGAGAACTTTAATTCCCCAGTGTGTCTCATGGCTCC